ACAGTGGATTGCGGATCTGAAGTCAGGAGGACTTCTGAAGGCTTCTAGGATAAAAAACAATAGTAATAAGGAAATTAATTTTTAAAACATCAGTTAATTCTAAATCTCCTCCTTCCTGCAATGGAAAAATCTCCCACTGAACCCAAGTGCAAGCATCTTTTTAGAGAAGAGGAAGACCCTGTAGCTGCTATATTTATAAACTAAATTTTCACCAGTTAGGGATACTATATATAATTATTGAGAAGTAAGTCCCATTGAACAAAAAATCCTGTTTTCTCAGACCCACTCCATTAGATATTTTTTTCTTGCCCCTTTCTTTCAGAGTGGCAATGATGTCTTCATGGTCCAACTCCAACATACCTGCATTGTCTTAATGTCCCCAGTGATCATGGATTGGTGATCTGAAGTTGTCAAGGTTTTTGAACCCTCCTGAGATGCAAGATGGCAATAGTTAGGAAACCAACATTTTGAAGGCATTCACTGAGATTAAGTCCCTCCCATCCTACTTGCAATAGCATAGTCCTCAGTCAACAAAGTGCAGATATTTTCTTATAGATGTGAAAAGAAATACATCTTTTTGTTTCAGAAGTACAACTAATGGTTTAATTATCTGTTTCTTTTACAACAGTCTCATGCTTTGGTCTTCTCCTTACTGCTGTGGGATGCAAGCAGCTGTCCTTGTTGCAGAATGAACAATTATTAATTAATGGGTTAATTACTTTTGCTATCACAAAATATCATAATACCAACTACCAGAAATACAAAGAATCAAATTATTATTATTAGGGCCATGCACTTTTTTGGATTTGTTTCCAGAAAGATGCTTGGAAGTGTGCAGGGGGAGGTTCAATCTCAGGAAAAGACACTGGTGCTTTAAAGAAGAGTAGAGAGGTGCTTGATCATTTAATAATGAGCACAATCCCATTTTTATATTTGCTTCCAAATTTCACGACAGTGCCTGGAGAGTCACAATTCCTCTGTCACTGCAGTTAAAGCTGGGCAACATTTGGGTATATGAGAGGTTTGGCTATGTTATTAAATGTTACTTGGAGGAGGCATAGAATCCCAAGTCCCATCAAACTAAGGAGAGACATTATCTGCTTAATAGGCATGGATTGTTCAGCCAATAATCTTGGATCTTTAGGGAAGAGGAGAATGCAGGTGCAACTAAGATAAAAGATGTGGGAATGAGGGAGTTTGTCCTCACTAATGTAACACACAATGATTAAGTTCTGATGCAATTTTTTAATTGCAAATTTCTCCTGTCTGTATTAATATTAGAATTCAACTTTCCAAATGTGGCCACTTAAATAGCTAAATATATTTTATCTATACAAAGCAAAGGTGTTAGCATCCCCAACATTTGCAGAAGGAGGAGGAGGAGAGGAAGAAGGAGAAGGAGAAGGAGAAGGAGAAGGAGAACCCTCAACTCTGGGATGGAAATTAAAGCTGCTGAAAGAAGACTGGGTTTATTCAGTAGGCATGACATGTTGCTGCAAGTCTCACTTGTTAGCCCTTTCCTGTAAACAGAAAATGACTAATTTCATAGAAAGGAGAGGGAAGGCGGTCACTTTAGGAGCCCAGTTGCCCTTTGTCCTATTCCTTGCCCCACATTTTTAGCAATGCTGGTGTTGTTCTTCTCAGTTGGGGAAGGGATACTTTATGGTGACTAAGGAGATGAGGGGAGACCTCATGGGTTTGGTGCCATGGGTGAGGATGGTGGTAGGAAGCAGCTTCTTGTTGACTTGCCCATCCTCAGGTGCTGCAGCCAAAGGGATTCTGTGCCTGAGTTTCTCACCAGAAAGCCCATCTATGAGGTTTGCCTTGGGTCTCAGAGAGCTCTATGTATGCTAATAACTCTTCAAAATAACTGAAAGAAGCAGTGATACTGATTCTGATCAAACCAGTGTAAAACCAACCTACAACTGAAGTTGTTATATCTCACATTTTTGAGATGTGGGGAAGCCTTTGAGGTGATGCTTGCACATATTTCGATACCAATATTAAGAAATTAGTCTTATAAATGCACTGGGCAGGTAAACCCTAAATTTCCTAGCCAGAATAGCTTTCAGACACGCACACTAGGAATTCTAGAACTTGCAGAGTCCGCACTTCTGAAGGGCACTAGATTGAGGAAGGAAAAGGCAGTAACTGTTGTGACTGAGTCAGTCTGCCAATGCTGATGAAGAAATCCAGAAACCAACCCAGAGAATTAGATGTGTCTACAGACATTTGGGCAACCTTTCTACAGCATTGTTACCTGGATCCTTAAGAATTCAGAGTCTTCTTCCTCAGCACTGCCCTCAAAGATCATTGAAAAAGGAGAGCTCGTATCAAAAGCCTCTTCTTTTTTTATACTTGATGAACTAGTCTGGGGAAAAAAAGAGAGAATTTGCATTCATTTGTGATCCTGAGTTTGTGATCCTAAAATTTATTGCTTTATATCTAGGTCTTCTATACAAGTTCAAGACAGTATGCCCTTACAATTTTATTTTTACAACAACCGTGTATGGCAAGTCCAGCTGGAAGACAGCACCTGGGGCATTGTGACCTACTGAGTTTCACTGCAGGGTACGAACGTGAATCTGAGTTTCCCCATTCTTAGTCCATAGCACTAATTACCATAGCACATTG